ACTGGTATCCTGAAATAAAACTTAAAAATTCCTCTTTAACAACTTTAATTATAAAAGGATCACATAAGGGGTGCCTGGGTGGCTCAGTCGGTTAAGTAGCTGCCTTCAGCTCGGGTCATGATTCTGGAGTCCCTGGATGGAGTCCCAAGTTGGGCTCCCTGCTCAGCAGGGAGTCTGCTTCTTCCTCTCTCTGCCCCTCCCCTGGCTCCTGCTCTCTCTCACTCGCTCACTTTCTCTCAAATAAAATCTTAAAAAAAAATTTAAAATAAAAAAAATAAAAGGATCACACGTTCACGATAAAATATTTAGAAGACAGAGGAGTAAAAAATAACCAGTTCCTCTTTCTTGGTTTTTTTCTGTAGATATCCACATCATTAAGAAGAAAAATAAAAACAATCAAATTCTCTACTTCAAAACATTTTTCAGCTGAACTTTTGTTATGAAATATCTTTCTGTGATATCATCTTAAATTAATTTGCAATATTCCATTAGATTTAACTAAGAATCTTTTAGCAGAAATTTAGGTTGCTTCTAATGTTGGATACCATAAATAATGCTGCAATAAATATTTTTTAAAAGATTTCTTTGCATACATCTGTAAATACTGCCTTAGGAATCATTCCAGAAGTAAAAATGCTAAGTCCGAAGAGATGCAAAACTCTAAAGCTTCAGACAGAGGTCAAACTATATTCCAGAAAGTTTGTGACAATTTCTAATTCCACCTGCCATGTATGAGAATATGCTTTTCTAAATCCTGGGTACTGTTTTGTTTTGCGTGTATGTGTATTTAAATACCTGCCTATGTAAGTTTTTTTTTTTTAATGATGCTTTTGGGGGTGCCTGGGGGGCTTTTTTGGTTGAGTGTCTGGCTCTTGATTTCAGCTCAAGTCATGATCTCATGGGTCATGCGATCGAGCCCGGGTCAGGCTCTGCGCTCAGTGGAGAGTGTCTGCTTGAGATTCTCTCCCTCTGGCCCCTCCCCTGACCAGTGCATACACGCTTTCTCTCTAAAATAAATAAATAAATCTTTAAAAAAAAAAAAAAATGCTGCTTTGGGGCACCTGAGTGGCTCAGTCGTTAAGCGTCTGCCTTCAGCTCGGGTCATGATCCCAGGGTTCTGGGATCGAGCCCCGCATCGGGCTCCCTATTCAGCGGCCTGCTTCTCTCTCTCCCACTCCCCCTGCTTGTGTTCCCTCTCTCGCTCTGTCTCTCTCTGTCAAATAAATAAAATCTAAAAAAAAAAAAGTGTATGCCTAGTTAAGCGACCGCCTTCAGCTCAGGTCACGCTCAGAGGGCGAGTCTGCTTCTCCCTCTTCCTCAGCCCCTCCCCAAACTCATGCTCTCTCTTTCTCTCTCTCTCTCTCTCAGATGAATAAAATCTTTTTTAAAAAAAGATGCTTTTGGGGCACTTGGGTGGCTCAGACGTTAAGCGTCTGCCTTCAGCTCAGGTCATGATCCCGGAGTCCTGGGACTGAGCCCCACATCGGGCTCCCTGCTCTGCGGGAAGCCTGCTTCTCCCTCTCCCACTCCCCCTGCTTGTGTTCCCTCTCTCATGCTGTCTCTGTCAAATAAATAAATAAAATCTTTAATAAATAAATAAATAAAGATGCTTCTGTTCAAATATGTAGTTTTTTACTCATTGGTGAGGCTGAATATTTTTCATCTTTTTCTTGCCAATTTTTCTTTTTTCCACTTATGAATCGTATTTAAGCATCTTCAGTCCCTTTCTGCTGTCACTGGTCTCCTTACTGGAAGAAACAGCTTTGACATGTATGAACAGGCTCTACTCCCTTTTAAGTTATTTTAAAAGCTTACAATCATTATATAAAAAATATATATGTAACAAATGTTTCAGATAAATTTGGAATCAGAGTATCCACAAGTTTTCCTTCTGCCTTCCCAATAAGGAAGAAGAGTTTCATGTGTTGAGTCTTACAAATTATTGAGTAAAGACTTTCGGAACAACAAAAACAATAAGAGACTTAAAGTCTTAAGGAGAAGTTAGGTATATAAGCCCAAGGAAAGACCTCTGCTGTTTTCTTTGCTTTCTTTTTTTCCTTCTGGTATCACAGATCAATCTGAAAATGAATTTTTCCTGAAGTTAAAGCACTGAAAAGCCAAAACATGCAGTTATATAAGAGACCTATCCTTGTCGTTATGCTTAAAATGTTACAAAAAGAGACTGTAAATGTCCCATGGTTTCATGCATTTTGATTCTCTCTGGAAGGCAACTAAAAGAAATGCACATGAGCCGCTTCGCCTGAACCATCTCCTGCTCAATAATGGAATCACATCTCTCTCTCTCTTTTTAAAATATTTTATTTATTTGAGAGAGAGTGTGAGCGAGAGCAAGAGCCGGGGAAGGAGCAGAGGCAGAGGGAGAAGCAGGCTCCCCGCGGAGCAGGGAGCCCTATGCGGGGCTCGATCCCAGGACCCTGGGATCATGACCTGAGCCAAAGGCAGACGCTTAACTGACTGAGCCACGCAGGTGCCCCCATCTCTCTCTTTTTAACCTCTACAGCTATTCCAGTTGCAAAGCCAACTGTTCTATGTATTTACTAAATGGAAAGGGGCTGAGAAATAGAGACTGGGGAGGAAAAAACAAACACAGAAAGGGACATTTAACGTGAGAGGATTAATTTTTTTTTTTAAAGATTTTATTTATGTATTTGAGAGAGAGAATGAGATAGAGAGAGAGCATGAGAGGGGGGAGGGTCAGAGGGAGAAGCAGACTCCTCGCTGAGCAGGGAGTCCGATGCGGGACTCGATCCCGGGACTCCAGGATCA